CAGTAGGTCTCCTGCTCATCTGCCAAGTTTGGACGTGTAGAAAGAGTCAATACTTTTAACTAATGCGAAATAATGGGAAATATCCAAGAACTGACGAAACATTTGGGGGGTGGTTTGGCCCCTACGTGAAGAGCAGATTTATTCCTGAGCGAACGAGCATTCAGAGTTAAGTGGGTTATATATGAAGCCCACAAGCAGGCTCATGCTTGGGTCATACGCAAGAGCAGTGTAGTCGCCCTTGGAAAAGAGTCGGCACTCGGCAGCTCAACCGACTCGGGGTGAAGTCTGTCACTCGCCGTGCTGTGACCCAAACGCGGGCTGCACACAGCAGGCCAATTGACCTCATTTATCTATCGATTCTTTATCTAGTAAGCCATTAATTTCATAAACTGACTGTTATTAAAATAGCATTATTGATCTCAAAGCCACTTATCTGAGACAACAAATAGCGCAATGGTCATCATATCCAAACTCAGGCAGCGGCAAGCACGGGAAAATTCGTGTGAACCGAACACTAAATTTAACGGAAAAACAACACCTTCCAGCTGATTGGTTAAATGATCAGTCCTTCATGAACCATTTAACTCCAGGGGAAGCATAGTTTGTCAGCCAAACTGCTCTATCTATTTGTGGGTGATAAAGGCCGGGGTGTACAGACCTCAGGTAGCACCACTGAAGTGTTTTGTAATGTTTCGTACACCCCGCCGGAATTTCATAACTTTTGTTTCGTTAGTTTGTTTAGCTACAGACCTCGTTTTTCGTTGACTAACGCTGAGAACCATGACTGCAGGTTTCTCTAATGACTGTCGTTACACCAGAATTGAAGTAATCACATCCGACCAATCACAGCAAACCATGTAGAGCCATGGGCCAATCAGGACTCAAGCAAAAAAAAGCAACCCGCGTCAAGCAGGGGGAAATGAGTGTAACGCAACGCTCGGTCTCTCAAGTCATTTACCTGATTGGCTAATGTTATGGCCAGCAGAAGTGAATATTTAAGTCTCTGGAAACTTCTAGAATGTCAAGTCACGCAAAGTTTGTGCCAGAACCTTCTACTGTCACGCTATGGAACAGTTTAGAGCATTCTACCAAATGATGTAATTATGATGTAATGCTACATAAATAGAAGCTCCAAGAATGTTCTAGAATATTAGTTATATGTATATAAAAAATCAGTTAGGTAGTATAGAGTGCCGTTAGTTGTTCTCGGCAGCTGAGACCGAGTGGAAAGGCTATAGAGTGCTATTGTAAAAGCTATTGCGGAACTTCGTTCAAGGTCAAGTGGACCATAAGGAGATTTCTTTAATTGGAGACATCGAGATATATTGTGAGTTCGTGTCAGTGGTGACTAAAGTTTAGCAGTAGGCATAACTTAATTTGGTAGTTTATTGTATTGTTCAGAAATCGCTCCTTTGTAACTAAGATTGCGTTACATATTGTTAAATAAGTAAGTTGGGTTCGTAGAAGAGTTTCGTAGTATATCTTTCTGTCGGTCAAGCGATACCGTAACACTAAAAAAGAGATGCTTTTGTTATTGGTCAGATCAACGGTACATATTTTCCTCTTGGCAATTCAGCCAAATTTGCTCTATAACTTCGGAGGTTAAAAAAACAGAATTGAATTAAAATGTTTCGGTTGTTAAAGACAAGCTTACTCATCAAATGTGCTAAACTATTTTATAGACAAAAAAATATTTGTTGGGAATATCATAAATAGCACTGGATACGTACATAAATGACATGGTTAGAATATCACAAGCGCTTTATCTCTGGAGAAAGTATAAATAATATATATTTAGTTTTGTTTTTAATTATGTTTATTTAAACATCAAAATAAAATTAAGGTCACCTGAAGGAGATCACAACTTGTTTTTTGTCTTTGTTATAAATAGTCATTAAACTATTAACGACTTCAGTCAGATTTTTGTCCTGAAATTCCAGTCTCCGCCTCCGGGGACGAGACTTGATCATTCCAGTTCATTTGTTACATATCCAGGCAATTTCTCGAATCTTAGGACGCTGTTGATCCGACCAAGGAAAATTCAGTAGCTTACAGTATTTCATGTAGTCTATCTATGAGCCGGGCTTCTCTAAGATTACATTCCTTGTGAATGCGATAAAGTTTACAGCGGTGAGGAGCACAACCAGTATATTCGACACGCCCGTACCCAGATCTTTACATTTCAGAGCACTTTTACGAGGCTGGCTGCATCATTTACTTTCGATCGAAGTATCAATGTTCACTGATGGAGACACGCATCGTTACACATGCCCGTTCAAAGAGGTTATTTACAGAAGATTTCACCCTGACATTGAGATTCTGGAAGAATGGATACCCACGGTCAAGAAACAAAACAACACCACGGTGCGAAAACAGACGCCTGAGGGAACAACCTCACACCAATCACAGACGACATCGTGTTTAACGGGTAATCAGTGTGTAATGTGTAATCAGTCGATGAAGACTCTCAATAAACAGGCGAAACATCACAATCTAGATCTCAAGTCACTACATGCCGAGAAAAACGAAGTTTTGAATCTTGCTGTGACGAACTACAAAATAACACAACACAATGCAATGTAATGC